ACACATTTCTCCAAAAAAAGACAATCTTATGGTCAATAAGCTCAAGAAAAGACGCACAGTGTCACTAATCATTAGAGAAATGCAAATATAACCACAATGAGACACCATGTTACACCCATTAAGATGGCTATTATCTAACAACCAGAAAATACTAGTGTTGGGGAAGAGGTAGAGAAATTGGAACCTTTGTGCACTGCTAGTGGGAATATATAAAAAGATGCAGCTGTTAGGGGAAACAGTATGACAAGTCCTTAAAAAATTAAAAATAGAACTACCCTATGATCTAGCAGTTCCACTTCTGGATGTATATCCAAAAGAATTGAAAGCAGAGATGTGAACAGATGTTTGTATACCTATGTTCATGGCAGCATTCCTCACAATAAGCAAAATGTGAAAGCAACCCCAGTGCCCATCAGTGAAGAATGGTTAGACACGATGTGGTACACAGACACATCTAAATATCATTCAGCCTTACAAAAGAAGGCAATTCCAACACAAAATACTACGACATAGATGAACCCTAAAGATGTGCTAAATGAAATAAGCCAATCACAAAAAGGCAAAGACTATAAGATTCTAATTATATGAAGTACTTAGATTAGCCAAATTCATACAGAAAATAGGATATTTGTTGGGACAGGTTAAGGGAGGGAAGAATAGAGAATTGTTGCTTAATGGGTATGGAGTTTCAGTTTTGCAAAATGAAAAGAGTTCTGGAGATGATTTGCACAACCATGTCAATGTTCTTAACATTGCTGAACACAAAAATGGTTAAGATGGTCAATATGATATTTATCACAATCAATTTTTTAAAAATCCTAATGTGTAAATATCCTTATGATTTTTAGATAAATCCTCTCAACTGAATTTCCTAATTTTCATATAGAGTTTTCTTGAATAATGTCATTACTTATTAACTGTGGAACTTTGAGCAGGTCATTTAACCTTGCGGTGCCTCAGTTTCTCTTTTGTAAAATTAGAAAATAATGACACCTATCTCATGGAGCTATTTTCAGCAGTATGCATGTTAATAACACACATGAAGTTCTTAGCATGCTCCCAGCACACATGCTGAGAAAAAAGGCTGGGACCAACCTTCCCTATGAGACTGCCCCAAGTTTGTCTTTAATTAGAAGTGTGACT